TCTACAGTGTGTAGTATAGGACATTTTGTTTGGGCAGCAAGTGATGGAACCTGGACTACTCACCTATCCATAGGAGGCCCAGTCAAAGAAATCACCCTAGGATTACCAACTCTTTGTCCAGTTTGGAAAAAGTCACCATTCAAAGACAAGCTAGAAACCCTGCAAATTCGAACTAAAAGAAATAATGATGATGATAATGACACATGGCAGGAGCCCTCCACAGGGGGTTTTGAATCTTTATTTGCACAAATAGCTGCATATCGAAATAGAGAAATGATTGACAGGCTAATTGGCCAAACAGAAAGATTAGCCAGGGTGAAAAAGAAAGGATTCAGAGATTTAAATTTGCAATTACAAGCAACAACTAAAATGATTTGCAGAACAGAATGGCATTAGACCTGTTGTTACTTAAGGAACATGGTGTTTGTGGATATTTAAAGGATAGATCATTATTGTGTTCACATTCCTAATGTAACTGGAAACATAGAATATGATATTTCCCAGCTGACCAAAGTGGAACAAGAAGCGGAAGGAGAAAGAAAATATATTGAACAAAACTGGATTGGAGCACTCTTTGATAGTTTAGGCCTTCACCTTACTGGATGGATCCGTTCAAACTGTAGTTGCAATGATGATCATGTTTTTAATGTTATATCTGATGTATTTTTTATTCAAAAGGAAACAGCCCGGAGCAATGCATGGACTCATCGAATTATAGGGACAGTAATTAAAGAATATCCAAAGCCCCCCTCTCCTCCCACATATCAGGAAACAGCTACCTAAGGAAATGAAAATACTTGACTTAAGTTGAGTGAAGTATTTTCAAAGGGGGGAACTGTTAGAAAAGAGTGAAGTTTTTAAGATAAATAATCATATAAAATGGTAGGAATGATTATGTTTAAGAGGTTTATAAATCAATAGTGTGATTTTGTAGATTAGAAAGAGCTATAATTTTGCAGTCCGGTATCGTGGTTAACCTGTAACCAGTGATACAATAGTAGTCTTGGTAGCAGGAGGTAATACATCTGTATATGGTGAAGGGTATAGTGATAAATTAGGAAAGTATATTGTAAAACTCTATCCAAGTAGAACCTAGGCATACCAGAGGCAGTCAAGGGGGAATAGAACAATGCTGACATCCACATAATGGTTGGAACATGTCCAAAGAACAGAAGGTGAAAAAGGACAAGCTGAGGAAGACTTCTTACTTCATCCGAGGAAGACTACTTACTTCATCTGAGGAAGACTCCTTACTTCATCAGGACGACCACCAGAGGGGGCTGCGCAAGCGCAGAAGAGGCTGATGTCGTAATGGACTGATGTAGGGCATACGTATTAATTGGTGATGCAATCTGTGTTGGATACTGTATAAATTGGGAATGCTAGGTGACAAGACTGAAGCCAGATTTGGGCGCGTGCCCCTGGTTTCCCAGCGCTGCAATAAAGCACCTCATATAACCATTCCGGTGGTTATGTGTCAGTTCCTACGCTAACACTTCGGCCATCCCTCAGCCCCAAGGGAACGACACGACCCGTCAGATCCTGAAGCCTGAAGCACCAACTCTGTCCTTACCAGAAGAAGCGGCGGCGTCTTGTCCAAAGCCTGAGGGGCGCTGGCCAGAAATGGGTGCAGGAGTCCCTGGAAAGCATCACACCACTGTGAGCCGGGCTTGGCAGAGGAGGAAGAGCCTGGCTTTAGGGAGTTGGCAGCACCCGCAGGAGCCGATGCATCCGGTGCATCCAGAGGGGGCAAGGAGAGGCATTTCAGATTGCCCTCCACCCCCTAGGGCTGGGGACTGGGGACTGGGGACTGGGGCAGCGAGTGACGGAAGCACCTTCCCTTTGCACGGCAAGGCTCTGCACAGCCCCGGCACCAGCCCCTCGGGGCTGCTGAGCCCGGACGGCTCAGCCAGGTCAGGCAGGAAAGCTGCTGCCTAAATCTAACCCTGCCCTTCAGCCCCGCAGAAGCCCCGTCCACCCCAACTCACCTGGCAACACGGGCGCGCTGCCGCTTCTGGGCTGGCTGGTGTCAGTAAGGCCGGCGGTGGTGGAAACGTCTTGCCCAGAAGCGACCGATGCTGTGGTCCTCTTTGCTGCCTGTGTGCGGCTGGTGCCTGAGCAGCGCTGGGGGATGGCTGACGGGAGGGAGCAAGAAATCAGGACCCGCAACTTGCCGCATGGGACTAGCCCTTAGCATCGCCTCCCAGCGTGAGCAGCTCACAGCTCCAGCGCTGGGCAACCTCGCCCACCAGCCCGGGGACTGCAGGACACGAGTCTTCACAAGTCTCTGAGAGCATCGGAGCCGATGCAGCACTGGCCCAGGAGCTTCCTCAGCCTGTGCTACACAGGCGCCCACTGCCCTGCCAGCCCGGGCCATGGCTTTCTCCCCCTTGCCGTGCCCTTGGCATTCCCACTCTGCCCTTACCAGCCTTAGCTCCCAAGAGCCGTCGAGAGCGCTGCCATGCTGCCTCCCCCTCCTCCTCCAGGATCATGTCGGCAGTGGGGTACTCTGGGTTAAGCTCAGGGAACTGCCAAGAGAGAGCAGTAGCTTAGTTCCTTCTCAGGGCAGCCAGCAGAGCCGCTCTCAAGGAGGTGTGGAAGCAGGCCTGTGCCAGACCCATAAAACCGTGGCTCTGCCACAGCCACCGCAGAGCTCTGGACCCCATTCATTTTGGCACTGGCTTGGGGCTGAGGCCACGGCAGCCTTGCCCAGGCCGGTACCTGCTCCAGCAGCGGGCAGCAGTCAAGCACAGCTAGCACACACTGGGGCAGGGGAGAGCCTCACTTCCCACCCAGCCAAGGATGAGAGCTCCTGCCCCAAGGCAGGCAGCTCAGCCTGCCCCCAGCCCTGCAGGGACTGCACTGAGCACATTCTATCCCCAGAGGAGGGCAAAAGAGGCTGTGAGACAGCAACGTACCAGCACCAGTGGGTGGATCTCGCCAGGCACCAGCAGGCAGATGCTCCTCCTGCGTGGCCTTCCTTTCCCCAGCGATGGTGGTGGGCTCGGGGACTGCCGCCGCTCCTCCTCAGGCCTCTCGACAGCTACAGGAGGAGACAAGTCAGGAGCAGCTCCCAGCAGGGGCGTTTGGCCTCTACCGAGGGGGTTGTCCCTTCTCACTCCTCTCTGGATGCCCGTCTTGGAGGGCAGAGCCAGGGGCACGGCCTTAAGCCGCGGACAAGGCTGCGATGCCCTGGGGCAGCAGCTGGCCACAAGAGATCCAGGGGGAAGCTCTCACAAGAGCCCGCTGGGGCTCCATGGGCCAGCGGCCCCTTCCCACCTCCACAGACGCTCCTTGCACGCTGCCCACCCGAACCACAAAGCACACAAGCTGCCACACGTGGTGGCCACATCTTGCACTGTGCCACGGGACCCTCTCCGCGATGGGCACACGGGGTTTCCTCTCTCTTTCAGCTGAGGAACTGTTGGAATGAGCTGCGCCTGGCATTGGAGCACACCTGCACCAGTGGCCCATCCGAGCCCGGCACAGAGCTGGGCCCCACCTACACTCACCTTCCTCGGTCTGCACAGCCTTGCTCGCTCTTCCCGGAGTGCTGTCTTCCCGTGGCAGCGATTCCCATGCTCTGTGCAAGTGGGAGAGAGCCAGTTAGGGTCAGCGCCAGGCTGGGACAGGACATGCCAGCGCCACACGGCAAAGTCACCGCTACAGCCGTCTGAGCCCTTCAAGCTCCAACCCAGCCTGGGCACAGGGCAGGGATGGTGCCGGTCAGCGCTGCCGCCAGCACCGCTGTGGAACAAGGCAGCGGGGATGCTGACGGACCCAACAAGGGGGCTTCCCCACCACTGGCTGACCCAGCAGCCATGTCTCGCGGGCCTGGAATATCCCAGCTCCGGTGGAGAGCAGGCCTTGGGCACCAGGTGAGCTGGGAAGGCGGCTGCTTTCTTCCTGTCTGGCACTGACAAGCAGGCACTGGCTGGATGAGCAGTACGTTACCTTCCTATCCGACGTGGCACTTGGCAGCAGGATCCTTTGCCGGACTGCGGGCACTCCCTCACGCACATCCTCTTCTATCGGAATGTGGAAAGAGACCAGGAGTAACTAATTTGGCTCAGGGGAGCACAGCCTCCCTTTCTCCTGCTCACCACAGAGTAAATCCCATCCCCCAGGTGCTGGCTGCCGAGCCCAGAGCCTCTCTTACTTCAACGCTGCTCAGCTCCCCCTTGCAATGTCCATGGAAGGCAAAGTCTGAGCATCCTAAACTGAATCCACGCTGGGAGCAAGCAGCCTCCAGGCTCTTTACCGGCCTAGGCGACGGGGAGGGAGGATGCTGCTGGCCCAGCCAGAGCAAATCCTTCCTTACTGATCCGCCCCCGGTGAAACCTTTCCCTGCACAGCTGCAGAGCTCCATCAGCCAGGACTACATGCCACTCTCCCGTCTGCAAGCCCGGCCCAGGATGTGAGCAGTGGTTTATTACAGCTCAGCAGGTGCTGAGTGGGAACACAGGGCTCCCACACGTGCTGCTGCCTCCAGCTGAAAAGGCGGCAGCACAGCAAAGAGATTTTGTCCTTTCCTTTCCCCTGGATGTGTCCCCCCCTGCAGACTGGCCAGGGCAGAGTGGCGACAGGAAAAGAGCTCTGTGCTGGGCTGTGGGCTGCGGAGCTGTGCTGGCTGTTGGGCCCATGGGGCGCCCCGGGCATCTGACTGTCCCAGCGTACCGGGGCAAAGATGTCCTCAGGGCTCCGGTCCTGTGGCAGCGGGTGCCGGTGACGCATGGTCTGCGGTGGAGCTCTGCTGGGGCACAATGGTCACAGCACTGTTAGTGGCAGGAAGAGCCGATCCCATCCTCCTCCCAGGCTCACCAGAGGCAGTAGCAGCAGGACGGGTTCTCTCAGCACGGCTGAATTCCTGCGGTTGGGCCACTGTAGAGGCCATTTTGCCGTGCGGGCCACACAAAGACAGGAGCGATGTGGGCTGGCAGGGTCGCATCGCACACTAGGACCCCGTGCTCCCAGCAGCGATCCCTGCAGCACCACGCAGGGCAGCACCAAGGGCAGCAGTATGGGCCCGGCACTGCCATGGCTAGGCCACCCGAGTCCTTATCTCACCCGTGCCCTGTGCCACCTGCAGCCCTCACAACCTATGTCCCTGTGCCACCTGCCTCTGTATCCCACCCGTGTCCCTCTGCCACCTTCATCCCTGACAACCAGGGTCCCTGTGCCCCCCGTGCCCCTGACAAGGAGTGTCCTACTGCCACCCGTGTCCTTATCCCACCTTTTTCCCTGGGCCACCCGTGTCCTTATCCCACCCGCATCCTACTCCCTCGCTCACCCAAGGCAGTTGCCGCGGGTCGAGGCGCTCACCCCTCGCCCGATCACAGTGGCCGATCTGCTGTTACTGGCCATTTTCCTCTTCAAGTGCCACAGCTGCACCTCCCAAGGGGTTGGAAAGTGGGCTATCAGGCTGTGGCTGGGCCTGTACGGGGGCGACCGCAGTAGGGGATAGTGCCTGGGGGGCAGGCACCGTGGTGGAGAGCGCAGGGGCCGAAGGCGCTTGGCGGACCTGCGGGACCGCAGCACCCACCAGGTGCTGGCAGCCCCCGCGCCCAGCGCCGCTCCCAGCAGCGGTCCCTGCAGCAGGCAGGTGCCCGTCACCAACAGCGCCACTGCCAGCGCCGACGCCCAGCGCCAAGGGCAGCGCCAGGGGCCCGGCAGCGCCATCGCTCTCCCTCTTCTGCAAACCGGCCCGGAACGCACTGCGGGAGCCGCGCCCCGGCACCTCGATAGTCGCCGCGTTCTGGAGCTCGTGGCCCTGTTCCACCGGCCCTGCCCATCCACCCGCCTTCTATTGACAGCCCTGGGCCACCCGCGTCCCTGGCAACCACTGTCCCTGGGCCACCCCTGTCCTGAGCCAGGACTTAGTGCCTGGGCTCTCCTTCAGAGATGGGTCATGTTAGCACCGAGCTGAGCACACAGGAGAGGCTGGGAGTGCAGCAGTTAGCACAGAAAGTGCCAGCGAGGGAAAGCCAGGCTGATGGCACGCTGCTCTGCCTGCAGGGCCCTCGCTCCTGCTGGTCACAGGCCCAGGGTACTTTTGGGACACCAGCTCTGAGCTCCTGTGCTTGCCCTGTCCTCACTGCAGCTCCCTGGAGCTGAGCCCAGCTTGCCCTAGGTTGCAGCTGAGCAGGTGCTCAAGGCACAGAGGCAGGGCTGTGCCCTTGGCCACTCCTGGATCTTTCCTTTGGGACGAGCAGCAACTTTGTCTGACGATTCCCAAAGATCCTTTTTCTCACTCCCAGCCTCCTGCTGGGCTCGCTCAGCTGATGGGGAGCCCATGGGCCTGGAGCCCCACGGGGGTGCAGGGGTCTCTGGGAGTGCCAAGACACCTCGATGCCTCCTCCTCAGTGTCCCCTCGCAGCCGATGTGAGCTGTGCTTCCAAATGTGCTGCAGGTAGGGAGCAGCAGCAGGAGTCCTGCAAGGGAGGAGCAGTGCTTGGTGGGGTCTGAGGAGCAGTCATGTCCCAGGCAGAAGAGGTGCACGTCGAAAACGGGTGAGGGAAATGCCTGTGAAAAGCTGAGGCTGGGTGACCAAGGATGGTGAGGCCACGATGTTCTCCAGGGGTAGTGTATGGGCTCCTGAAGTTTCAGGCAGGTCCCTGTACATAAAGGAAGAGTTTCCATGGGACTTGACTGAGTTCCCACTCCTCAGACACCTGCAGCAGCTGATGGAGGTGGATTACAAACTGCTCGTCCCAGTACATGCGCAATTTTGGGTTATTGTTAGCATTAGGGTTAGGGGTTAAGTTTAGGGTTAGTGTTAGAGTTAAGGTTAGGGGGTTTAGAGTTAGGTATAGGCTTAGGGTTTGGGTTAGGGGGTAGGGCACATCTGGGCCACAGATGAAAAACAATTTGGATCTGGGGAGGATCCCCATCCTCTCCGGACTCCCCAGCTGGCTCCAGAGCACCCAAACATGGGGAGGGGCACCAGCAGAGAGGGGAAGAGAAGGGAGCAGAGGGACTGCCAGGGCTGGAGCAAAGGTTTGCACCTTAGGAAACACGGCAAAATAAAGCCAGAGAGGAAAGGCTGCAGAGCTGCAGAGACGTTCATCCAGCCTTGGTGGGGAAATCTTCCAGTAGGAAGAGCTTGGTTCACCCCATGCCACCCTGGGAGCTGCCACCCAGCACGGTTTCTTGCTGGCAGTAGAGAATGGGCCTGGCCCCATCTCTCCTGTCCCATCTCAGGGCTGCTCTGGACCAGAGCCCTGCGGGTGGGGGGCCAGCAGCACTGGCCATTACTTCTTATGGGAATGATGGATCCGTGCCTTTAGCCGCTTGTGAGTTCCCTGGGTCCTGGATCTTGTCTGTCTTGAAGAGGCAGGGGTGGATGAACCTGGAAGCACAAAGTTTAGCTCAGGTCTCTGCAGCCGCACTCCGAGCTGGCAGCGGGGCTACCACAATCCCTATCCCCGGGGGAATGGAAGGTTTTACATCCCCAGAGCCCAGCAGCCACCACCCGAGCCGGCTCCTACAGCACAGCCTGGCCCTTCCGCCATCCCCCAGCCCAAGGGGACAACACTTGTCCAAGGGGGCATCAGCTCCTCGAGGCTGAAGCACCAACTCCCTCACTACCAGGGGAAGCGATGCCTTCTCCAAGGCCTGAGGGGCGCTGGCCAAAGAAAGGTGCAGGAGTTCCTGGAAGGCAACACACCACTGTGAGCCGGGGTCAGCAAAGGAGGAAGAGCCTGGCTTTAGGGAGCTGGCAGCACCCGCAGGAGCCGATGCATCCGGTGCATCCAGAGGGGCAAGGAGCGACATTTCGGATTCCCCTCCAACCCCCAGGCCTAGGGCTGGGGCTGGGGCAGTGAGTGAGGGAAGCACCTTCCCTTCGCATGGCAAGGCTCTGCACAGCCCCAGCCCCAGCCCCAGCCCCTCAGGGCTGCCCAGCCAGGTCAGGCAGGAAAGCTGCTGCCTAAATCTAACCCTGCCCTTCAGCCCCGCAGAAGCCCCGTCCGCCCCGACTCACCTCCCAGCACGGGTGCGCTCCCACTTCTGTGCTGGCTGGTGTCAGTAAGGCCGCTGCTGCTGGAATCGGCCAGCCCAGAAACCACCGATGCTGCGGTCGCTGATGCTGCCTGTGTGCGGCTGGTGCCCGAGGAGCCCTGGGCGGTGGCTGTGCCCAGGGACGTACCTTCCCCACTGGTGCTGGGGCCCTCATCTGCCGGGAGGGAGCCCGAAATCAGGACCCACAACTTTCTGTATGGGACTACCCCTTAGCAGAGCCTCCCAGCATGAACACCTCACAGCTCCGGCCCTGGGGACCCTTGCCCATCACCCTGGGGACTGAGGGACACGAGCTCTCCCTCCCAACCCTTCACCAGGCTCACACTCTGCCCATGGGAAGCAGGGCTCCATCTCCAGCCCTCTGGTTTCCCCTGTTCCCATGCCCATTGCTCCCATGCAGTGGGCACAGCTGTAGCACTGGGGCTGGCTCAGGTCCTCGGGGGGCTGCACAAGGGAGCCTTTTGGGGGCAGATGCCAGGGGAGCTGTAGGTGATCAAAAGGAAATGGTGATGCAAGGGCAGGAGCTCTTGCATGTGCAGCCTGTGGCTGCCCCATCCTGCTTGAGCCTTGCCCCCACCTTCCCTGCCTGCCCTCTCCCAGCCATACAGAGGATGCTGCGGCCATCCTTGGGCTTGGGGAGCACCACAGGTGCTTCATTCAGCCCATCCACCTCTGCTTGAGAGCATAAAGACTCCTCTGGTTGCCGCTGCCAAGGCACTTGTCTGTACTTGCCCCTCTGCAAACCGAACGCTGCAGCACCATGGGGAGCATCCGCAGGCAGAGGCAGCACTTGGTGATGGGGCAGCCGACCTGGCCCTGCCTCTTCACTGTTGTCTGATCTCAGAGGTGCCTTCAGAGCATCCCCAAGGGCTCCCTGCTGCCTGCCCCTGGGCTGGGCTAAGGTCTCTCCATGGGAAACACCGACTCAATAGAAACCACAGCGTGGTGATTAAGTATCCTTCCCAGCACAGTTGTGCAGTATTGCCCTGAAACTGCCCCTGCTCGAAGCAGAAGCAAAGTGAAGGAAACCCAGTGAAATAATAATAACTCGTAATAATAATACAAATAGTAGTAACTGTTGTTCGACCACACAGCTGTGTTGGAACAGGGGAAGCCAGTAACCGCCAGTAGAGGGTGCTGGAAAGCGGCACCCTGCGCCCTGGCCCAGGCACCAAACACGGGCAAGGCAGACGTGAACACAGACTGTTTATTTGAAGTGGGGACATAAAAAGCGGGAAGGTGAGCGGGGGAAGATTGCACCTTCACAGTAAAACAAGACTAAAATGGTAGTAAAAAAACCAATATGACAACTGTGGTAGAAGAAGAGAGTAACAACAGCAGATCAACAACAGCCTCACAAGAACAGAACAACAGAACACTAACAAAACCAGACCGTAACAAGCGCAGAGACGCACCGCCATTCCTCCAGCCTTGGCTGCGCAACCGTTCCAGCAGGAAGAATTGGATTCAGCCCGTTCCATCTCGGGCGCTGCCTCCCAGCACGGTTTCCTGCCGGCAGCAGAGACGGGGTCTGGCCCCGTCATTCCGGGCCCGCCTCCCACCGTCTCCCCGCGCCTCGGGCCTTGCCAGCTCCTCGGCTCCACAACCGCTCCCACACGGCGCTGCCCCCGCCACAGCCACGTCTTCACACCGGATCCCCCAAGGGCCTCCCACCATAGACCGGAGCCGCCCCCGGCCCTGACAGCGCCGGCCGTCACTCACTCACTCGCTCGCTCGTTGACTTGCTCTGCTCTGCGTTGCTCTGCTCTGCGTTGCTCTGCTCTGCGTTGCTCTGCTCTGCGTTGCTCTGCTCTGCGTTGCTCTGCTCTGCGTTGCTCTGCTCTGCGCCTTCCCAGGACTTGGCTGCGGGAGCGACGATCTCGAAGCGCTTCCCGCCGCGCCGCGCTCGCCCCACGGCTCCGGCAGGGAGGCGGATCCCGGCCGTGCGGGCTGAAATGGACGCGGCCGCGGCTGCCACACGGGCGGGCAGCTGCGCTCCGAGCTGCCCCGCGCTGTTTGTCCATTGGCCGGGGCCCCAGCGCTGTTTGTCCATTGGCCGGGGCCCCAGCGCTGTTTGTCCATTGGCCGGGGCCCCTGCGCTGTTTGTCCATTGGCCGGGGCCCCAACGCTGTGCTGTCATTGGCTGAATCCGCCCGGCCGTGGCTCCTCTGTGGCCGTCCCTACGCTTTCCCCGCCTCCCTGCCGCTCTGCAAGCTGCCTCCGGAGGGAAGGAGCGCGCGGCGGCCGCGGGCGTCCGGAAGCGGCGTCCCCTGGGCCGAGGCGGGAGCTCTCCGGCGGTGCGGGCCGCGGGAGCGGGGGTTGCGCTGTGGCCGGAGCGGAGGGGGGCGGTGTCCGTG